GTCGGAATCCGACGACGTCGGCGGCGATGGAAAGCTCTCGTCGAGACGGTAGTCTGGGTATACTGTACGTCTCAATCGGATTTCCGGTTAGTTCTGTAGGTCAAAATATATTTCGTCTCGGTTTACCTACAGATCTTCTACTGTATTACTCAATACACCCTTCTTCAACTTGTACCAATGGAGCAACAAGAAGAAGATAAAGCTCGAATGAGATCTAGAGAGAGAGAGAGGCGTGTGAGGCGTGTATCTCGTGTGAATGAGACTTCTGTTCTCTTCTCATGAGCTTAATGATGTATATATAGAGCTACAGTAGGGACCCTAAGGAGATTAAGAAAAGGGCTCCTTAATTAATTAGACTAACTGTGGGCCAAACCCACTCCTCTAATTAATTAAATAATATTAATGGGCCACCAACATTATATTATTGCACTCCCTTTCCCTAGCCCAAATTACATTTGAGACTCCAATAATAATTACTCGATTTACCTCCCCACGTTTAAGATATAATGTCCATTAATTAATTCGATTACTGACAATCAAGAATTAATTAATTTATTATTATTTCACCGAAGCTAGCGCTCGTTCATCACATTCTTATTATGCCGGAATTTAATCCACCTGCAGGGTTTAGCATAACAATCCTTCATGAACTCACTCCGGGGACATCATCAAACTAACGCACATGGTGACCGTAAATATCCTAACAGCACATCCTATATATAATAATATTACCCAAAACAGTAGGAATATTAATCCAGCGAACTGAACCTCACCCATGTGAATCAAAGTAATATATATTATATATATCTGCCTGTTTAATATCTTACGGGTTAAGAGAACGCAGTAATTAACCGAGGCCTAGTTCATTTACGACGATCAGTATAAAATGAACTTCTCCTCTCTGGGATCCTGTTCAATACATAAATGTACTAGTGCAACTAATCAGTCAAGACAAACTGTACAGTTGACACTACAACCGTTCGGATGGAGTGTTCATGTCCATCTAAGTTGTGAACAACTATTCTTATTCGCAAGTAACTGATAGAGTGATCTTCGGTACGCCCGATGACGACCCACTCCATCTAAGTGCAGAACAACAAAACGTAGAACTGGTTTAATCTAACATGATTCTCATTCATAAAGGGTAAATGTGTAATAACATGCAAAGCCAAGCTTTCAGTATATAACACTAACAGAGAAGACACACCAATCTCGGACCTTAGATCCCACACCATCATTGGGACCCGAGCAACATCGACAATGTGGCTTGACAGCTCAACCGAACTAGAAATCTCGAGAATCTCCACCGACTCAAAAGTCGAGAACCATTTCTCGACTGACTCCCGAGGCTGCCTAAAGTTCAGCGCCCTTTCCTCGTCGATGGGCAAGAAAGATCGATCAACCAGTGGCTCTTTCTTCTTCTTCTCTCTCTGACCAACATCGTGCTTCTTCTTCGTTCGTCCCTCAACAACTGGGACACTATCAGCACGTCTTTTTCTTTGTCGAGTTAACGGAGCCTCCTGCTCCTCAACCACATCTTGGTTACCCTCGGGCTCAATAGAAACAACTTCAACGGTTGGTGGGGCCTCAGGCTGAGTAATTCTTGTAACCGGTTCCATTTCAGGTGAACCGGTCACAGCAGCAGCAACAATAGCGTCTATCGAATCAGTCGTCGTTATCGTCAAAAGATTCGGTTGCACAGCTTCAGTTGCAGCCACCGATGTCGCACCATCACCAACATCGGTCTCTTTCGGATGCATAATCGGGTTTGCCAAGAAGGCCTTCACCAATCTCTTACGACCCATCTCGGATAAGCATTGTTCCTTGCTTTTTCCGACTTTGGTTCGGAGGTCTAAGTTCGGACTCTTCTGACGGAAAGCTTTAGCGTCGCGAATGGTTTTGAACCCGAGTACTCCGAGAAGCGGATATGAGTTACGATTGTCTTTGTGAACGACCGATATAAAACCCGAGTTAAAACTCAAAAATTACCTGGTTGAAAACAAGGATCTGAGATCTCAGGGAAAAGACCAGCCGCTTTCAACCGCGAGTCCTTCAAAATTAATTTGAAGCTACGTTGTTCTTTCTTCAACTTCAGCAGCTCGGTAATTCTACCTTTCAACTCCGCACCGAGTTTTGATTCCTTCTTTCGGGCTGCAAATAGTAAAATTGCTGACCTGTTAGTACAAAAATAAAGTAAAGTCAGAGCAACTCGGTACAAGCGACATTAAAAAAGACTTACAATAAGCAGAATTTACTTCGATGGGTATCGACATCCCATCGATTAAGGGTTTAGAAAAATTCGGAGTTTGACAGTCTCCGCCAACCCATAACCACTCCTCTTGGAATCCATGGAGAGAATCTGGGATATCGGTAACTAAGTCGCCGATTTTTAATCCGCCTTGTGGCCTCCCCGCGCAAGCGAAACAAATTAACGGGTCGGCCACTTGCCTATCGGCACACCTCCTGAAAGTGAAGAGACTCCTTATCTCCTCAACTGTGGGCATGTCCCAACTCTTCTCCTTCAATAGCACCATAAGACCGATTACTCTCTTCCATGTATTTGGCGCTATCTGGCACAAACCGAGTCCCCAATCCCTTAAGTAATCGGTAATCAAGGATGGGAGAGGAAATCTTAGTCTCGACCTCAATGAATCGGCGAAAACACCAACGCAACCTGGCGCAGGGCAAGTAATCCTTTCACCCGGATAAGGAGCAAATAGCCTTACCGAGGAAGGGACATAAACTTCCCCTCGAAGCATGACGATGTCGGCGTCGGTCAGAATGCTTGATTCACCACTGTACTCATCAATCGGTTCGGGCCACCGACGAGCGGGACGTCTCCAATATTCGACAAGAGAGATAGCATTATCCTCAACCAACTTGTCCTCTTCAATTATATCCCTATTCAAATTCAGCCTTTGAACAAGAATAAGATCCCACCGATAATACTCAAGAGGCAATTTCACGGTGAAAACCCTAGTCTCTGAAATTGTACGGCTACTGCTATCCTCGGCGTGCGAAGTCACCTTTCCGAAATCAATGTGAAAATAAAAAAGAATTTGAAATTGGCGAGCACAAAAATATAAAAACTAGGGCAAAATCTTACCAAAACTCTCAAAGCCCTAAATTGAAGAAGACACAAAGAGATCGCACAAATTGTACCAGATGGAAACAGAAAGAGAAATTTGAGAGGGATTGAGCACAAGGATGAAAGCAAAAAGTTCAGAGATCTAAGGTAAAAAACCCTTCACAGTCAAAGCCGATAGCAATTTATAGGTTTTGATTTATAACCGTTGGCCAAACCCGGGATCGGCGCGTGTAACGGACGTGTCCCTAAATAGTGAAACGTTACAATAATGATTATTACAAGTGGGCTAGTCTCGAAACGCCATGTCGCTTAACAATTCTATCCGTTGGACCCAATAAATGCGGACGCGTCTTTTGAGAATTGCCACGTCAGTCCAAACGTTACACAACCGTCGCACAAAAAACTGGTGACAAAACAAAGTGTTCTCATGTCGGTTATAAAGTAAAAGAGAAGTCGGAGAACAACCAAGTCGGAATTAAAAGACAATAACGACATCAACAGTCATTTTCACGAAAAGCTCAAATACCCACTAATGTCGGGGGCCTCTCTGTTGATGACCGACTTGGCTTCATGAGGTTAAAGCTAAAGACTAATCGCTTCATTTGATTAATAACTCCTCAGAAATAGCTGAACTTAGCTCAAGTCGGAACCAGTTAAATACGTTGAATACCGACTTCCAGTTGACTGAAAGTAGAACCGACAACTGACAACTTATCCGAAGCCGACAACCGACTTCACAACATTATGAATATGATCTTCAAAATATTATCCATTCATCCGACATCCGAGGAGATCGAATTTTCAAGCAAGAGGAGCTGTACACATTCGATTGGACCATAAAAAAAAAGCAATCATTGATGTTTCCTCATTCCACTACACACCGTTTAATTGAAGCTACTCAACATTAAATGCGATCTTATCTACCTCGGACAAAAAGACAAAAGCGACCGTACTATAAATAGCAGAATTTATAGTTGTACAAGGGCTTTTGGATCTTTTCTTTTTCACACATTGTACACGGACGTGAAATGACCTCGGTCAAGAACAAAAAAACCGATTTCCTGTACTCTTGTGATATCATCAATAAAATATAATTTTCTTTTTATTTCTGTTTAAACACACCCAACTGTTTATAATTTTAAGTTGTTAATTACATATAACAACAGGCGGATTGGGCTATAATCAATAGAAAGGCATTTAGTGATAATTTATTGCAATGATTGATAAAAAAAAAAAAACCTTCACTTGATGCTTACGGTAATTATATACTGGAAAGAAAACAAATATAATAAAAAATGGACCACTGAATTAATTGAGTTGTATGAATTTTTCAAAAAGTTTGATGGGCTAATTTATCACTTTTTAACTGATGTAAATTTATTTAACTGAGTTTGAATATTTTACATATTTAAATAAAGAATTACAAAATTAACTTAATTTCTTGTAAACAAAATATTAAAGTATACAACTTAATTTTCAAATAATTTTACAAATTAAAAAATATGAAAAATTTTGCATTTTCTAAGTAATTACAAATTTATAGTTAAAAAAAAATTAAAGTTTATGATTTTTTTTAAGTAATTTTGCATGTTAGCAGCTATTTACGAACGACTAATTTATCAAACAATTTTATAACAAACTGCTAACACAAACAGTTGGCCAGAACAGCTAATACAATCCGCTGATCAAAACAACTGACATAATCTGGTAACAGCTAACAGCTAACTACTGATTACCAAAATGCCCATGTAATTAAATCCCCTTTTGCCACGTTTCCTTATCTACATTTATGAAATGCAGTAATAAACACATTATAAAATATATAATTACTTTATATTCATTTTTCCGTACTGATTCTGTTCGCATAAAGTGACCGCTTTATAAAAAATTCTCCACTTCTGACTTTCTTATTTTTTGCATTAAAATACTACAATAATCATTTATGCAAAATACATTTTCTATTGGTTTTTTTTGCCTATCTTTTTGTTATTACGAACGCATATTTTAGTGGATAAAATAAAAACAACATTTTAATTTCTGAACTAATTTATGCTCATAACAAAGTGACCGCCTTATAAAATCTTTCGCATTTGGTAGTCATCATTCACCTCTAATCGGTCACCACCGTCAAAGCCTAACCGTCTTCCTCCGTCGTCACTCTACGGTACGCATTCAAACGTGAAAACACACACACACACACACACACTCAATACCCTGTTTTTACTCTACTTTTCTGGATATTAGTTGATGTTTCATCGTCATCTGTCTTGTCCACGAGGTTTCTCGAAGAGGGTTTCATCTTTATCTTTCTTGTTTTCCCTTTGGCGGCGTATTTTCTCTCTCCTCACACTCTGTTTCACATTTTATTAACACACAAACATGCTAATGCGCTTCTCTCTTTGAATTTTTGGGCAGATTATTGTTCCGTGTGAGTCTACTCTGAAACCGGCAAAACGCCGTCGTTTTTTTTCGCTCCGCAACACTCATGGTATTCAATTCACTCTCTCACTCTATGGCCATGAACAGAGCACTTTTTCCCACTAATAAATAATTTTTTTTTTTTAAAAAAAGGATAATATTTGGAAAAAATATCCAATTTTTCAACCAAGTATAAGCGAGTATTGTCATGGGTTTTGGGCATACAAGCTAATTAGTAATTACTAAATTTGATTATTTCTTATTTTTATTTTTTTTATTAGGTGAGTCCTATTGTGACAATGCAAAATGAAGATATTGGACCTGAATGGCTTAAACCAATGCTGAGGGCCGATTACTTCATTACCTGCCCTCTTCATTTGGACTCTCATAAAAGCGATTGCAATTTGTTCTGCTTGGATTGCATTGACAATGCCTTATGTTCCTACTGTTTGGTCCACCACAAGGGCCATCGTGTTCTCCAGGTGCCCGATAACTCTTATTATTCGCATTCAATCTTAGTAATGAAAGAAACATTGTTTGGTAAGTTTATTGGGGATTCAATAGAATTGAGTTTGAAGTGATTACAGATTAGGCGTTCTTCGTATCATAATGTGGTGAGAGTAAATGAGATTCAGAAATATATCGACATATCGTGCATTCAGACGTACGTTATCAACAGTGCCAAGATTGTTTTCTTGAACGAGAGGCCCCAGCAGAGGCCGGCCAAGGGAGTCACCTACACGTGCCAAATCTGTGCCCGTGGCTTGCCTGACTCTTTCAGATTCTGTTCTGTCGGCTGCAAGGTTCGTTTATAGAACGTGTTCATTACTTCCATTATTCGGTTTTCATGTCTTTTATATAGTCATGTTATGGTGCTTGGTGGCGACATTAAATATTAGTCTTGAATTGGTGGTGTATGATTCGATTGTTTGGTCGCATTTGCTTTCCCATTTGGTTTCTGCCTTGGAATTGAATTGTTCAAATCTCCATTCTGCAGTGTTATCTAGTTTCCCCACCTCAAATTAGTACACCCATTGTTTGACTTTTTATCACTTATTGGAAGCATCATCTTACTCTTCGATCTGGCCTCAATTTGAATCACACTACTGCTACATTTTTTAATTTTTCTGTTGTATATTATAAGGCGAAATTGCATTTTCAGTCCTTCTGGTTTGACGCCTTACCAATTTTAGTCCCAATGTTCCAACATTTTGCTTTTTGATCATGTGATTTTATATTTTGCTGCAATTTCAGTCCTTTGAAGACTGAAATTGCAACAAATTCCCAAATTTCGATTAGCTGTTTAAGTCGTGTAATTTAAATCTTGTTGTGATTTCATTTACTGAAATTGCAATAAAATATTAAATTACAGGATAAAAATGTAAAATGGTAGAATCTTGTATGGATTAAAATTGCTATGACGTTAAACCAGTAGTACTCAAAATGCATGTTTGCCTCATTATAATATAATTTTTGTTTACATTAACAGCTGAGTAGCATGGAGAGAGGTGATGTGGAGCTCTCATTTCTTGTGAAGAGCAAACACAAACGGGACGAGTATGACTCGTTTGAGGTTTGGACCCCGAAAAAGATGCACAGAGGGAATGCATTGTTGGTGGGTCGACTCGCAACATCATTCAGTTCGAGTAGCTCGGGAGATGAGGTCTCGGGCAATCTTTCTCCACAAACTCCTCCTTTGTTCAACCACTCCAACTCCAACTCCAAACGGAGAAAAGGCATACCCCAACGTGCCCCCTTCTGATATAATATGTATATATAATATAATATCATTAGAGGAGGGTTTCAAAAATGACTGGTCATTGTGAACAAAAGACCAAAGAAAGATAGTAGTAAGTATAGCATTAGAGTTGATTGATGTATACGGGTTGTATAGTTTGTGGCTTTTAAAAGTTTGTTTACATATATTTTATTACGCGCAGCTTTGGTGAAACTTACTTTAGATTATGGAAATATTGAAGTGTTTAATGATATTGATACTAATGATGCATGTAATTCTGTTTCTAGGATAATGTACGTGCTGTTCAAATTTTTACTTTTTCTTCCATTGATTGGGTGCTCAAAGTTTGAGTTGTTCACCAGAAAGTAGGTTTAAATAGCAGATTAATTAATTAATTAATCATTGGAATAAATTTTGGGGGTGGATAGGTGAAATTGCTAACTAATATCTAATAAATGTCATTGATAACGACGTTGATTTTTATTTTTATTTTTGGAGACTTTGTATCATAATCACAAACTGAAAATTTGTAGTGCAATGTGTTTTATTTGATTTTGGGTGGTCTAAATTCCTGGGAGTTTTCATGTCCAAAGGGGAAGCTTAGGGGACACGTAATACCCCTAGAATTGACGGGGAACATCGCAAGTTGACATCTTTCTATTTTTATTTTTGTCCGTTGGTCAGTATTATTATAAGATATGTCAAAACATAACATCACAATTATATCTCTCGAGTCTTGAGCATTATCCCTTCCTTTATTTTTCATTTCTAATAAAAATGAGGAGGAGGCAATCAGTAGAATATTATTATTTGCATTATCCCTTCCTTCATTTTGCATTTACCAAGAAATAAAAATGGGAGCAGTCAATACAATATTATTATTCTTGGACAAGTGGAAGGAAGAGGCCTAGGGAATCAGAAGAAAGCTGCCTTGTTTTTGTGTTTGTTTTTTTTTTTAATTTATTTGTTGATTATCATTTAGATGCGGTTGTAATTTCTGCTTATATTTATTTCTATTAAATTTTTTCGATTTTATATTGAACTCTGTCACACTTTTATGGTGGGTGTCACTCTCTTTGGACACAAAGGATCCATGGGAAGATTGTCCATTATGTGTATTGTCCATTTTGTATTGTATAGATATTAAAAAATTGTATTTCTAATGGTTAATATTAATTGTGATATTATTTGTAATGTATAAAATTATAATTGGTTGGTAAAGAACATAAATTGAATAAGTAATATAATGTATAATAGTAGTTTTGAATGATTTTTACATCTCGAAAACCTTCTAGACGTTTTTCATGTCAGTGGTATTATTTGTGTCATGTCATACAACAATAGAAAGACAATTGGAGATGCTCGCATTATTCAGCTCAGCTGACTAACTTTGCGTTTCCCTTTTAAATATAAACTAGTACAATACTAGTAATTATATGCATTCTATTTAAAAAATTATATTAAAATTCTATATAAAAATTAAGAGAGGAATTCTTTTATTTAATCTTAAATACTTCATATTATGATTCATATTTAAAATAGGATTTTTTAATTTTACGAATTGTCTGTCTTATATTATAATAACTAGTAAAGTACTAGTGCGATGTACGAGGCTTTATTATTTCTGTCCCTTTTAAAAAATAATTTTGAATTAAAATTCAAATTATATAATAAAAAAAAGATCATGCCATTACTAATTACTAAATATAATGAAAATAAAATCTATATATTATTGAACACTTCCTTACCAAATGATATGTACCTCCTACAAAAATCTCAAATCACGGAAACATCAACACCGATTAGTAGGGACACATCCTTTGATGTGGTTATTCGAACTTCACCTAATTAAAAAATATGTTGGATTAACCGATCAAATAAAAAAAAAATGTCGAGTTATTTATTGAGTTTAATTACATTAAAATTAATGAAATACCTCCCCACTCCTTCGCACGGTACATTTGCATGATGAGGACAAAAGGTTCTTCTTGATTTTGGTAATAGCGTTCAAAAACAATCAACTGGTTAACATATTGTCCCCAAAACGTAGAGTTCTTCATGTTTTCCCTACACAATGTCGAAAAGAATTTAAAAGGCATTTTATATGTTTAAAAAACATTGAAAATAATTATTATATATACTGATAGATCACCCATATGAATATATAATGTTAAGGATTCTGACTCTAAGTCCATAAGAGAGAAGACGTTCATTTGGGTAGGAACTCCCTTGACAATCTTCATTTGAATAGGTTGCATAGAAACAACCAATCCAATAACATCTACAAAAATATAAGACAATTCATCATATTAAATTGTCATAATAGATTTTATTGTTTTGAATTAAATATATAAAATTTTGAAATAAAAATAAACAAAAATATAGAACGTACAAAACAATATAGATTCGTACTTCTACTTGTGAAACTTGGTTTGGCCGTTAATATTGATCCTCCAAGTGCAAATTGTCGATTTGTAGATTCCAATATTGCTTTCCACTTGGTAGTTTTTAAAGATATAAGCGCCATATTCTTCAATTTCGTTGATGAATTGTGAAATATTGACGGGTCCGATTATACCAATAATTCATCCTCCTTAAGAAAGTACGTATTCAATAATTAAATAAAAAAATAATAAAAAGTATAGCATAAAATGTGCATATAAATAATAATATAAGGACAAATTACCTCAGAATCGTGAAATATAATCTTAAGAATGTTTCGATAAGTGCGATCGTCTTCAATGCGTTGGAACATTGTAATGATGCGTAGCTTGAACATTGGCCTATTAGTTCTTTTATATCTTTAATTTTTTAAAAACCAAGTCATTTTAAATGGGGATGAAAAAATTGATTCAAAAGTTTGTTTTGTGAAATGCATTATTTTCTGTCGATGTTTGGTTCAATGATCACACCAATGTAGTGTTTATATAGTGATTGTGCATGTGCCATCTACCTATACATTCAAATTTTTTAAAAAAAATATATATATAAAAAAAAATTTGAAAATAGATTTTTCATATATTTGGTAATATAATCAAGGATTGGCATTAAATTGATTTGACTCTATTTTCCTAACTAATTGGATCTTTTTTTAGTCTTTTGATTGTGTAGTTGTTTATGTGTTGTTAGTCTAGCTTTGCTAGCGGCGGATTTCTAGGTGGTCTTCTGACCTGTCCTCCCACTTTTTCAGCCGTTGGCTGCTGTGTATTTGTGTATTCGCACATTTGTGCATTTTGATTTATAATATCATCTATCGTTCTGGGAAAAAAAAAAAAAGAACTAATTATAGAAAAATAAAAAGGAATAGATCAATTATGAATNAAAAAATTTAAATTGACTTGAATTCTCATAAGTTAAAAATCTGTCAATTTTTATAAGATATCAATTGATTTTTTTTTTTATTTATTTTTTTGTCGAAACAATAGATGTCATTATATAACTCAAATGAGAACATAGTTCCAATACAAAGGGGAAGACCCAATCAAATCCTGAACTAAAAATTGGGAGGCACATCTATAAGATGACCTAGAACCTCAAAGCAAATCGAGCAATAAAAACAAACAGGTTATAGAAAATCCTAGCCACTGCCATAAGGCATAGCATAAATCTCCTGAAGCAAAGAGCAAAACACCAATAAAACTAAACAACATACAAGAAAAGAGACACAAATCCTAGCATTAAGAAATAGAAATAAATTCCTGCCATTCTGATTGAGCTGTCTTCAATACCATATGAACCGGGATGAGAGTTTTTTTGAAAAATCCACAGGTTGCGAGTCTTCCATAACCACCAAAACAGATAAAAGGTGAGTTGAATTCTGTGGTTTGGAACTTCTGATTTGGCTATGGAACAAACTTGCTGCCACCAATGTTTGAAGGATAAAACATATTATGAGAGTCCATCCCAGGAGACAGGGGCTATATCCCATAATCTTCTTTCTTTGGAACATGTAAACAATAGATGTTCAACTATTTCCTGTTCATGTCCACAACACCTGCAATAACTTTCAACTTCCAGCCCCTTCTTTTGCAAGTTGACCAGGGTAGGCAGTATTCCATTGAGACATTTCCATAAAAACAGTTTGAGCTTACCAGAAATTTGCAAAGACCAGCTCCTCTGGAGAGTGTTTTCCATTGGCAGGGCAGTGAAGCTACTCTCAGGTTGATCAATGGAGAAGACTTTATGTACAGCTAGGTGGTTATAGGTGCTTGAGACTGAGAATTCCCCTTTTTTGTCAATGCTCCAGTACAGCCTGTCACTGGCATTTGGTTTCAAGGTTTTAATGGCAAAGATAGCTTTTTTGTCCTCTTCAGAGAATACATTTTCTACCAGCAACTGATTCCAGTTGGAACAATCTGGAAGAATTTGGTACCCAATTGTCATCCTCAATCCTAGTTTGAGAGCCACTTCTGATTTCAATTTCAAGACACTTGGTAAACACAGGAAGGACTTCCAGCCAACATCTCCAAAGTCATGAATCCTTGTGATATTTGACTGCTTGAAATATGGAAGAATTTGGATAACACATGTCTTTCAATATCTTATTAACAAGTAGGTCAGGCTGAGTTGAAATTCTCCATAATTGCTTGCAGATTAAGGCAATATTGAAAAGCTTGATGTCATGGAAACCAATACATCCATTTCACTTGGGCACAGACATTTTAGACCAGCTCCTCCAATGAATGCCATTAGTGCTGTCTTCTTTGGTGTACCACTAGAATTGAGCACACAACCTAGAAATGTCTTTGCATATGGATTAAGGAAGCTTGAAGCATGACGTGGTGAAGACAGGGAGAGCCTGGATCACAGCTTTTAATAGAACCTCTTTACCTGCAGGTGATAGGAGTTTGGATTTCCAACCTTGTAATTTTGCTTCAATGAATTCCAGCATGTAAGCAAGAACTTCCTTCTTGGACCTGCCAATTCCAAGAGGCAATCCCAGGTATCTAGTTGATCTATGAGATTGAATACCATGAAGAGCTGAGCAGAATCTGTGTTGGATGTAAGTAGGAGTGTTCCTACTGAAGAAAATAGCTGATTTTTTTGGAGATTAACTGCCTGGCCAGTGAATAACCTGTATTTGTTCAACAGATTCAAAAGGACCTCAAATTGATCCACTCTTTCTCTATAGAAAAGCAAAGAGTCATCTGCAAAAAGAAGATGAGAGAAAAGAGTTCCATTTCTAGAGAGCATAACCCCTTGCAACAGACCAGAGTTCACAGCTTCCACAATAAGAGCAGGCAGCAATTCAACAAGAATAATGAATAGATAGGGGGATGGAGGATCCCCCTGTCTAATGGCCCTTGAGGGTTTGATAAATCCACTAACAACACCATTGACTTTAAAAGAAATAGTAGAAGAGGATATACATACTAGAACCAACTTCACAAAATCCATGTGGAATTCCATTTGAATCATAATTTGCTTAAGACTGAGCCATTCCACTCTGTCAAAAGCTTTCATAAGATCAAGTTTGAGGGACATAAACTAGTTTTTACCTTCTATGTGTCTCAGAAAATGAAAGGCTTCCTGTGCTATAATCACATTGTCCATTAGCTGCCTCCCTTTCAGAAAAGTTGATTGATAATGACTAATACAACTATCCAAACAAGGTTTCAACCTTTGAGAAAGAATTTTAAAAATAACTTTGTAGACAACTATGCACAGACTGAATGGTCTAAACTGGTTTAAAGATTCAGGAATAACACATTTCGGACTTAGAGAAAGAAAAGTATGATTCTAGTATTGTAACAGAGCTCCTGATTCAAAAAAACTCTTAACAGATGTGATAAAATCAAATTTGATCAAATCCCAAAAATGTTGGTAGAAAAGAGCATTCATACCATCTTCCCTCGGGGATTTATCCGGATGAAGACTGAAAAGTGGATTTTTTATTTCCACTTCCTCAACTGGCTGTAAGAGAGCTTAGTTCATGTTCTCTGTAATAGAATGGGGAATCAGATGAATGACTGAGTCACACCCAAGAGATCCCTCAGAAGCAAACATATTGGAATAGAAGTCAACAGTATGAGCTTCCATTTCCTGTTGGCAACAAAATTCTTCACCCCTGGAAGAGATAAGTCTTGTTATGACATTCATTCTTCTCCTCTGTTGAGTATAGGCATGGAAGAATTTGGTGTTTCCATCTCCATCCTTAAGCCAGGTAAGTCCGGACTTCTGTTGCTAATAGGTCTCCTCCAGATGATAAGCACTATTAAGCTCATTTCTAAGTTTGGCCCATTCCTTTCATTTTGAATCAGAATTGTCCTCCCTCAGTCTTTCCAATTTCTTTGTAAGAGCTGCAATTTTACCCTGATTCTGAGAATGGAGAGATGAACTCCACTGAAGCAAAGCCAATCTAGTGAGTTTAACCTTCACTTTGAGTTTGAAAAAAAGAGTTCCCTGCACCATGGTTGACCAGGCCTTCTTAACCACCTCTTACATGCCATCCATACTCAACCATCTCTTATCAAAGGAAAATCTCTTTGGCCTTCTAACTCTATCATTCCCAGGGTCAATGAGAAGTAAAGAATAACCTGAAGAGCTTTTGACCAAGTTTAAGACTTTAGCATTAGGAGATGATTCCAGCCATTCAATAGACTCTATCTAGTTTTTCTTTCACTATGCCCTCAGAATGTCTATTGTTGCACCATGTAAACTGGTAACCAACCATCTTGATCTCCTCCATCTCCATGTTGCTGATGAAATTGTTAAAGCCTGAAAAAATGCTGTTGCTTTCTGATAAACCTCCAATCTTCTCCTCACTTGAACATATAGCATTCTATTTTCCTGCCATAAACCAATGAGTCCCTCAATAATGTTTCAATGATTCAAAGGTATTCCATTGTTTAGCTCTCTGCAGTCTACATGTACTGAGGTACACAAAACACCCCACTATTTATCAGAAGATGGTAATTTAAATTCAACTGCAATGAAGAAGCTATGACAACTGATTTGAGAAATGTTAACGGATGAATCCCACATAAGAAGGAAACCCCCATTTAATCCTTGAGGATCAACAATAGTTGTTCTGTCTTCAAACCCTAAATTTTTACTTACTGGCTTAACAAAGGATCTTGATTTTTTAGTCTGTGAAATGAAAACAAAAAGAGGGCGGTGAGACTTTAAAGTCTCTCTGATTTAGGAAACCGTAGAGGACCCACCCAGTCCTCTACAGTTCCAAACCGCAGCTAGCATTTATCCCTTGGGTGCCATTCTAAGTTGGCCACCCCCAACTGTTCCTGGACTTGCTTCAATCTCGTACTGGCTGCACTTTCTATAATTTGCTCCTTATCTTCTTGCTCAAAATCTGGTGGATGTACCCTTGATCTTTTACCACCTATGGGATAGATAGGAGAAATGTCAGGAGAATTTTGCCTCTTAAGTCTGCCTGATTTAGAGCTGCCAACAATAATCCCTCCCATATCCTTAACTGGTTCCCCTGTGATAGGTTCAACATCAAGTGGTGTAATGATTTCCACCTCCATCTCCTTCTGAGGATGATCCATAAATTGAGAGTGGCTAGCAACTGCAGTAGTCTTTTTCTTCTTTTCCTGATCTAGACTGCTTGGGGAAGCTAAGGATTGTAAGAGAGAATCCTCCTTCATGGAATTAGAGGCTGCTATATCAGTTCCTTTCTTTGACTGGAGGAATTATGGTGTGTAGTTTCATTTCCTTGGATTGAAGATTTCCCAGAGTTTGGAGAATGTTTTGAACCAGAGTTACTGATTTCCACCCAATTACAGCCTTCTACTGCCTTCATCCAATCACCATATTGGCCTTCTCTAACTGATTTAATCCTTATGTCTTCTAACCTTCTAGAGCAGTCTCTATCTAAATGTCCAATAAATCCACAGTAATGACATAAATTGACCATTTTTTCATATTGGAAACTGACCTTAACTGTTTGATTGCCCATCCTTATAGAAGCACACCTATGTAAAGCTTCTCTCAGATCAATTGTCACCAACAGCCTTAGAATTCTCTCTCCGTGATTGCCGGAGATAACAAGAACTACGTTGTTGATTTCTTTGAAAAATTTGCCCACTTTTAGACCGACTTCCGTACTCAACCAATACAATGGGATGTTAAGAGCCTGAACCCAAAGCTTCAACTCCTGGAATCCGAGATTGTTACGAGAGATGTTCTCCTCCCATTTTCGAAGGATAAGATATTGGTTTTCGAATATCCAATTTGTGCCACTAACCACCTTCTTCAAGTCGTCCCTGTTCTAAAATATGAATTGAAAAAACTTGGGTCCCCACTCCTTGACTTCCATAGTCTGCTTCAGTTTCCAGATATGGGACATTGTGCGTTGAACTCCAATCCAGTGTGCTTTCCTATCTCCGACAAACTTCCCAAACAGACTCCGCTGGAATTCATCAACACTAATATGGATATCGTCATTCTCTAGATCAATCAAGGCGGATTCTTTATCAGATAGGGATATACTATTCAGTTTTTGAGCAAGGTCGTCGTCCCTCCCCACTTCCCTTGAATCATCCATCGACTCTTGAGAGAATGCTGGAACCCTAAAAATGTAGGGAAATTCTGAGACAAAAGAAAGCGAACCCAACAATGAACGAGAATAATGTTAATCGAATCCAGAATCAACTGGAAACCATCAATTAGGAAGAAACAATGGATCGAAAATAGAGGTTGCCCTCAACGAGAGAATCGAATCTCTCAACGAGAGAATCAAACTATCTATTAGCACTTGCATTCATTTTCCAGATATCAATTGATTTGAATTTTCAAAAACTAAAAATCTGTCTTATTTTATAGATTCACACGGATTTTGTTAGGAAATAGAAAGAGGATCATTTTACTGTAGATAATTATTAGCAAACATTGTTTAATGTGTATCAAGAGTTGCTTAAAAGAGTTGTATAGGAGTGTATCACCATTAATTGAGAAAAATCAAAGCATATATTCAACAAATATACATCCCAAAATTATATCATTAAAAAAATAAAAGGATGACCAAATCTAAAATGGTTTGAGTTCGGATTTTAATTTTATTTGTAATTATTTTCCTGAATAATTGGATTAAGATTGACATCAAACTTATCCAATTTTGTTACAAAAAGGATATAAAATGTGTAGTATATTGTGTTTGAAACATTAAAAACTTGAATTTAAAAAAACATTAAATCTATTAATTAAAAAAAGATACAAAATCGGCGTGAGGATATACCGTAAGAAATATGAAATTGCATGTTATTTCATAATAGATCTGATAAACTAATAAAAAAAGATGGAACAAATTGGTTTTTACATATAAAATTGTTTTTTTTTTCCAAAAAGAAAATAAGATCACAAATTCAATTAAATATGCACAAATTATGTATGGGATATCAATTGATTTGAATATAATTTACCAAAATTATTTGATTTGTTTACCAAAAATGTACTGATACTTTTTTTAATATGTGTATCACATTCAAATATCACATTTTTCAAACTCAAATTTTTCCAATATTGTGGGATATTTATTGATGTTGATACCTAATTTTGGCTTCGACCATCAAAATATTACACGTGGATATATATTAAATCAATTGTTTTATTTTAAGGTTAAAAAATAATACCTCTTGTAATAATATCGGGCCCATTAAACGTATAAATATATATATCCCCGATGATGGACATCAGATAGATAAGTCTGAGGGGACTACTATTATTTTCTCTATCTTATCTGAGAGAGAGAGGGCGGTGCAGAGAAATCTCTTCTTCACGACTGCTGTTTTCATTTTTCTTTCAATTACATGCAAATTCAATAGAAAAATCACCAAAAATATACATCAAAAAATACACAAAAAATTCCTACGAATACCCCATGTTGATCAATTTTCGTGCATCAACAGTTTGGCGCTAGAGGAAGGGCCCGTAATTTATTTTGGTTAACCTCCGCCGATACACGGCCACATCTCTACCCCGAAAAACAATTACTCCAAGATGAGATTATTCTTAACCCTATTCTAAGTTCTCTGTATTCAGTGCTCTGTTATTTAGGAATTCATACATATTCATAAATTTCTTTCTTTCTCCCAGTATAAGCTTTCNAAAAAAAAAAAAAAAGAAAGAGAGAGAGACACGCAGAAATGGATGTCTCGATGACAGGACAAGCTCAAAATGGATGCATGAATTGCAGTAAAATTTTAATCGACGAAGTCAAGGTGATCCACAACAACACCGTCGTAAGAAAATCATCATCATCAATAGATGACACCGCTTACAAACGGCCGGTGACTTGGCTGACAGGAAACCTTCCACAGTAATACACGTGGAAACCTTTTAACAATCATACACGTTGATACTGCCACGTGTATTAGTTGACGTTGCCGCTCAGTCTCACAGGCCCCACTCCATCTTTATAGAAAATACCGAATTCGATTACTGGGACCTCAACTCGCCATTGTTGGATGGCCAAAGTCGCAACTCAAGTTCGTCGAGACCCGACCATGAAACACCTCGAAACGCCCCGAAACACCTCCAAACTTGATTTCAGTCGTCGAGGCTGAACTTTTCACAATCCGGCCGACCTCCAAGCAAGCCCGAACGAGTTGCACAAATCGGCCAGAACCGACATAGGCACCTCAGAGAACCTCGCCATCAACAAATTGCAACTCGGGCTATGATCATCACCGACTTCAAAAGTCGTCGGAGTTCGGTTCGAGCCACAAATTTCGCCTGGGGTCCAACATCAATGCCACCGAGCTCAACTTTTAATTCACCGACCTCAGTCACCGGCCCCGACTTCACCGTTGGAACGACTCCACGAGACGACCCTGAAACAGGCCGAGCCCGACCTCGGAAAGAGGCCGACTTCACAACAGACCGAGATCCGACCTCAATCAAGAGGCCGACATAAGCCCGGATATCGAAATCACGGCTGACCTCCGCGCCTCTGCCCAACTTTATTCGAAACCAAACAAACATCCCACTGTGAAGTCAAACAAACGTCCAACCGTGAAGTTCGACTGTGAAGAAGAACGTCTAATGGAAAAGGGGAAACACATTTTGAACTTTGAAATCCAATCTTATCATACATTAAACGTCCCAGATGGAAGCTTAAGGCCATATAAAACGTTCAAGAGCTAAGCTTTGTAGCCAAACAAACGTCTAACTGTGAAGCCCGAGTGTGAAGAGGTACGTTCACAACGAAAGCTAGTATTGGTCATGAATGTTCAAAAGCAGAGCTTGCCAACGAAAAGGAACGTCCAACGGAAAAAAGGAAACACATTTTGAGCTTTTGGAATCCAAGCTTATCGTACAATCAAACATCCTAGGAGGAAGCTTATAGCAGCAACAAACGTCCTTATAGACAGCTTAATGTACCGAGAAACGTCCAACGTAAAAGCTTCCTGAAGAATTTGATTTCTTCGACATATCACTCAAATTGCTTTCTCCCATATCTCAAAATAATCAACCTAACATATACTCAAGCAACAACGCTATGAAAGGATATAGAATTGTTATTTTGTAATATATCCTTATTGTTAATAAATTTTAGTAATAAAATCGTAATCATATTTAATAATAACAAAATAAGTAGGGTTTGGGGTTTAGTAATGAAATATAATAATATATTTCATGGGCTACATATAGGCTATATATTGGAGAAGAAGGAATAAATTGAAGAACAAGCATCAGAGGCTCGACGTCGGGACTCCTCCCGGCATTGAGTTTTTGCAGGTACAGAGGCCGTCCGAGTTGAAGGTGTTAGTGTTATATACTAAAAGCTTGGCTTTGGATGATATTACACGTTTTCCCTTTATGAATGAGAATCATGTTAGATTAAACAAGTTCTATGTTCTGTTGTTTTGCACTTAGATAGAATGGGTCGTCATCGGGCGAACAGAAGATCATTCTATCAGTCACTTGCGAAACAAGAATTGTGGTTCACAACCTAGATGGAAATGAACACCCCATCCGAACGGTTGTAGTGTCAACGCTACAATTGGTCTTGACTGATTAGTTGCACTAGTACATTTATGTATTGAACAGGATCCCAGATAGGAGAAGTACGTTTTATACTGATCGTCGTAAACGAACTAGGCCTCGGTTAATTACTGAGTTCTCTTAACCCGTAAGATATTAAACAGGCATATATATGTATATACTATTTTGATTCACTTGGGTGAGGTTCAGTTCCCTGGATTAATATTCATACTGTCTTGAGTAATACTGTTATATGTATGATGTGTTGTTAGGATATTTACGGTCACCATGTACGTTTAGTTTTATGATGTCCCCGAAGTGAGTTTATGAAGGATTGTTATGCTAAATCCTGCAGGTGGATTAAGTTCCGACATAATAATAATGTAATGAACGAGCGCTAGCTTCGATAAAATAAATAATATATTAATTAATTCTTGATTGTCATTAATTAAATTAATTAATGGACATTGTATCTTAAACATGGGGAGGTAAATCGGGTAATTATAATTGGAGTCTCAAATGTAATTTGAACTAGGAAAATGAAGTGCAATAGTATTACGTTAGTGGGTCGTAATATAATTTAAATAAATGGAGGAGTGGGTCTGGCTCACAGTTAATCCATTACTTAAGAAGCCGCCTATTCCTATTCTTCTAAGGGTCCCTA